CAGATCCCCTACAGCCCCGCCTGTCGACGACATGCTCACTGTCCCGCATCGCCTGCTCCACGGCCCCGGCCCCTCGCCCGTCGCCCCCTCGGTGCTGGAAGCCCTCGGCAAGCCGTGCATAGGGCATATGGACCCCGCGTTCATGGAGATCATGAACGAGGTCCGGGCGATGATGCAGCAGGTCTTCCGGACGGAGAACGAGATGACTCTGGCGTGCAGCGGCACGGGGTCTGCCGGCGCCGAGATGCTGATGGACAACCTCGTCGAGCCCGGCGATGTGTGCCTCATCGGTATCAACGGTGTGTTTGGCGGGCGACTCACCGACAAGGCGAAGCGCGCCGGCGGTGTTGTCCACAACATGACGGCCGAGTGGGGCCAGGTGTTCGATACCGACGCGATTCTCGCCAAGATCGAGGAATTCAAGCCCAAGCTCGTTTGCTTTGTCCACGCCGAGACCTCGACCGGCGCGCTGCAGCCGTTCGACAAGCTCGCCGAGGCGACGCACAAGCACGGCGGCCTGCTGGTGATGGACTGTGTCACGTCCTTCGCGGGCCTGCCGATCGAGATCGACGCCTGGGGCATTGATGCGGCGTACAGCGGCACGCAGAAGTGCTTGTCGTGTCCTCCCGGCCTCTCGCCGGTGACGCTCTCCGAGCGGGCGATGCACAAGGCCAACAACCGCAAGTCCCCTTGCAATTCTTGGTATCTCGACCTCGCGCTCGTGGGCAACTACTGGAGCGGCAGCCGCGCCTACCACCACACGGCGCCGGTGAACATGAACTACGCCCTGCACGAAGCGCTGCGGCTGGTGTTAGAAGAGGGGCTCGAAGAACGCTTCGCCCGCCATCAGCGTGTTCACGAGAAGCTCAAGGCCGGCCTCGTTAAGCGAGGCTTCGATTACGCGTCGGACCCCGATCACTCGCTGCCGATGCTGAACCTCGTGAAGATCCCCGCGGGCGTCGAAGACGAAGCCGGCCTCCGCAAGCGGCTACTCAACGAGCACGATCTGGAGATCGGCGGCGGGCTCGGCAAGCTCGCGGGCCAGTGCTGGCGCATCGGCATCATGGGCCACGGCGCCCGGGATGAGAACGTGGATACGATTCTCGCGGCGCTCGACGCGGTGATGTGAGTTTGGGCTTCCACCCTATTTAGCCCCCGGTCAATGACCGGGGGCTATGTGTATGTGGGCGCGTCACCCTGCCAAGCTCACCAACGTAAGCGCCAGCGCTTGCACCCCCGCGGCGATCGCTTCGGGCGACGAGTACTCATCCGGTCGGTGCGATACGCCGCCGCGGCAGGGGATGAAGATCATTCCCATCGGCGCGACGCGCGCCATGAACAGCGAGTCGTGGTAAGCCCGGCTGATCATCTCTTGGTAACCGAGATTCAGCGACTCGGCGGCGCTGACGGCGGCGCTCACAACATTCTTATCGGAGATCGCCGGCGGGTCGGCGTTGAGGATGCGGTGCTCGACCTTGACGCCACGCTCCGCGGCGATGCGATCGACCTCATCCTCGATCTCCTTAAGCACCGCGTCGCGGTTGGCGCCGTCGATGTCGCGGAGGTCGAGCGTGAACCGCACGCGACTGGGGATCGAGTTCACGGCGCCCGGGTGAACCTCGAGCTTGCCGACGGTGGCCACTAGGTCGGGGCTCTTGCTGGCGCGAGCGATTGAGTCGATCGCACTGACCATCTCGGAGGTCGCCACCAGCGCATCGCGGCGGCGAGGCATCAGCACGGCGCCGGCGTGGCCCCCTTCGCCGGTGACCGTGAAGTCGGCCTGGGCGGGCGCCGCGATCGCCGTCACCACGCCGATCGCCAAGCCCTTGGCTTCAAGTTCGGGTCCCTGTTCGATGTGTAGTTCGACGAAAGCGTCGTAGTAGCCTTCGGGAAGCTTCGCTTCTGCTAAACCGCCAGTGAACCCGGCGCGCTTGCGAACGGTGTCGTAGTCGTCGCCGGCTTCGTCGGTGAGCTTCACCAAGTCGGCAGGTGACATGGCGCCACTCATCAGCCGACTGCCGGTGCAACCGACGCCGAAGCGTGTCGGCTCCTCGCTGGTGAACATCACCACCTCGATCGACCGCCGCGGCTGGAAGCCCGCCGCCTGAAGCGCGCGGATCGCCTCAAGCCCACCGAGGACGCCAACCGTGCCATCGTACAACCCGGCGTGCGGAATGGCGTCGCAGTGAGAGCCCGTTCCGACGGCGCCGAGCGATGGCTCGCTCCCCTCCCAGCACGCAAACGTGTTGCCGATCGCATCGACACGCACCGCGAGGCCCGCCGCTTCGTAGAGCGAGCGCAGGTAGTCCCGCGCTCGGAGGTCGGTCTCGGTAAAGACGACCCGCGTCACCGCCGGAGGCGGCTCGGGGCAGTCACTGATCGTCGCGAGCTGCTGCAACTCGCCGACGAGACGCTCGACATCAATTATTAGTGGATTCACAAAAGAAGATTAACCACAAAGGAACGAAGGAAC